GTGAGTTCGGTTCCCAGTACCGGAGAAAAACCAAAAAAAAAAAAAAAAAAAATCTGATTGGAAGAAAACAAGAAAGCTCCTACAGGATACATTTTCTCCCAGCAGGGCCATTACGCAGATGGAGAAACTGAGGCCTAGGCAGTGGAAAGAATTTGCCCAAGGTCGTGTCTAGGCTAGTGGAGGAGCCCAGGCACGGATCCAGGCTCAGTCCCTGCTCATCCAGCCCTCTTTTCCCCCACAGCCCAGCCAGGTAAAGTAGCATTTTTGCTCTGGGTCTCCATAGCCTGAGCTCCTTGTTCTCTTGTAGTTGGCCTGCTGCTTCTGATGTCATTGTTTACCCTGAGATTTAATGCCCACACCAGAATACTCACCCTCCACACTTCCAACTCAGCCACTTTTGCATCTTAACGAGGTTGTGCGACAATCCCCAATATCTAATTTCAGAACCTTCCCGTCACCCCAGGAAGAACCCTCAGACCCATTAGCAGTCATTCCTCGCCCCGCTCCCCCAGCCCCCAGTTCCTGGAAATCACTCATCTGCTCTCTGTCTCCATGGACTTGCTCTCTGGACATTTCATATAAACAGGACCACACAGTCTGTGGCCTTGTGTGTCTGGCCTCTTTCCTTCGCACAATGTTCCCTGACGCAGGAGCAGGGTAAGTACTTCCTTTTCGTGGCTGCATGACACTCCATGGTACGGACGGACCACCTCTTGCTTATCTGCCCTCCCACTGACCGAGGCTTGAGCATTTTCCTGCTATTATGAGAAGTGATGCTGGGAACATCTGGGCTTCTCTTCAGCCCCAGAATAGACAAGCAGGGGGCCCCTTCAAACCCACTGCCACTGTCTTGCAGGTAGGGCTGGACAACCCAGGGTTGTCTCAGGCACTCCGGCTTCCTGTGGTCGGTAGTTCTCCCAATTACTAAATCATTTGTTAAATTCACCTTACGTACTATTGGGGGTTTCTCTAATAGATAAAATGACAACTTGGCACAACGCCGGGAAAAGTGAAAATGTCCTTCAGGAATTACGCTTGATTCAGTTCTTGAAAATGAAACCAAACT